CTATTAGTTGCTAGAGAAGGGTTTTCGGAAAACAAAAACTTTTGTTTTAAATACACTTGTGACAATTAACGTTGAATCTTGCTCGATGCCAATTTGTCGCAGAATCCGACCAATTTATAAGAATACAAGTACAATGGCAATCCATAAGCTTGGTCGCATTGTCATACTTGAACCCATATAAACCGGTAGTCCGTCGAGTACCACGACGGGTCTCGATAAACGATTTACAACAACCAAGATCAGATAGATTCAACATACATGCCACATATTACATAAAGTTCACGAGATACTTTTCATCATCAGAGTCTGAATAACAGCTTATTACAAACCGAGTTTGATAAATAAAGCGGAAGCAAATAAGTTCAAGATAAAGTTTCCAACATAGTTTGATACATTGCCAAGCTAGATCACGGTCCACAAAAGCAAGGATAGGAATTACTAAAGAAGCTCGCCCAAGGCTTACTCCTCATCCACAATGGGATAGAAGCAACTCTTGCAATAACCATGATACACAAGTGCCATCTCGCAACATTGGGAAAATAAACCCCGAGTACGAGAAGGTACTCACTAGACTTACCCGCCATGAACCGTAAAATAAAATGACTCCAAGGATTATACAAGGTCTGTATAAGTGGACGTAACTTGACAACATTTTTGCGTAAAAGCAATTAAATCATGGTACAGTTACTAATTCTTTACCAAGTTAATTATAACTATTCATTTCTAGGTTAGCAACTATCCTATGCCAAACATGTGGTATCATTTAGAAGCATACAATAGTAACCATAGCAGGTATTGAAATTCCATTTTCATCCGAACCATCATGTTCCATAATACAGTTACTACGATGTTGGAGCTAGCCAAGTTTCTCACTATCCGGGAGAGACGGAGATTCGAATCGATTTCAACCAGCTGGGAATTTATTCCTAACACAAACCCAGGCAGACCAGATCAACGGTCACCTTAGGTCACCTTTGGTACAACTCCGGTACACATTTCGCGGGTCCATACTGTGCCGCACAATCTGGAACACCAGATGCCAGGATGCTCAGGCCAAGCCTACCCTTGGGCTCAGTCTGATCGTTCCCCGGAAGGGGCGCACAACTGAACGATTCCCGGCCTGAGTTGAATTACTCGGCTTCGCGGTCGGAACAAATTATCCGGCCAGCTAAGTGAGAGGCATGCGTTCAATCTTGTCAAAAGTTCCAACAACGGTACGGTCCTTGATCGACACAGACGGGGATAGATCCACACCCAAGACCTCCATGCCTTGTTGCTTTTCTATCGACATCCCGCCCGGTCTCCATTTACATTAACCATGGTTCTTTCCACGATAGCAATGATAACCAACCGTGCTCTAAGTATCCACCTATATCTCGCGGTGATGTGAAATCACCCGACTTCTACCGGTCTAAGCATGGCTAAGCATATATTCGATCCTGGACCTATACCGGTTAAAGGGGTAATATCTGGACAAGGAATGTACATGCATCAAGTGGTTTCATTCAACTCTTATAACCTAATGCAGCAATCATAAGTACTTAAGTAAACATTGATAAATTTATTGGAGACTTATAATGCTCGGGCTTGCCTCGCAGAAAGGAAGTAGGGCGATGGTCGGGACACTCCGGAAGCTCTTCGTGGTTCTCGCTCCACGCCCGGGAGTCTGCGGCTTGCGGATCCTCCTGCGGGTTCCCTCTCTCGCTTCTTCAATTCCAAAGAACGTGATCTCTTCCTCCGATCCTAGATGCATGAGTATGGTATAAGTATTACTTAATGCATATATGTTAACAAGTGCATCACGTTGTTTGAGTAGGTGCATATCTCTTCTCGATTATTACTTAACTACTTCTACAATGCATCGACTATGCCACAAACAGTAGCTACTTGTTTCGCTCATAATCGGAGTTCTACAAATCCAAATCCAAAGTGATCCGGACTTTCGGAAAGCTTATCAAATTTTCTACAACTTTGTTATTAACCACTTTTACAAAGACACATCAGTTTCAACATGCAAAATAAAGTAATAACACCTCTACTTCATGTAATCATTCACAATTTGACAACCTAGAACCTACCAACAGTTTAAGCATACCAAATATAGTTAAGATAATATAATGGCAAAGCCCAAACTATTTATTAAATTGCCTTTATTATTTTATTTAGCTATCTAGGTTAAATAATAAATATATATTAAATGTGCTGAATAAATTCTCAAAAATTTATAGAGCCTTACTAATGATATCAAAGGACTACTATAAAAATTTCATGTCATTTTACTAAGTAGAACATCCTATACAAAAATGATAAGGAAGCAAGGCTTGAAATAGCATAAATGGAAAATCCTATTGAAAAGTGTCAAGCAACAGATTTCATATTTTTCTTAGCATCCATATTGTACTAGTATTACCTCCAACAAATTTCATGAATTTTGGACTCATACTTAATTTATAAAAATTCATGCAAGGATCAACTATTTATAAAAGAAAAATCTATAACTATAGATCTACACATGCAATGGTCTTCAAATTTTATCCAAGCTCATATATAACAAGAATAGCCTACACAAAATTTCATAATTTTTGGAGCACAGAACTCTAGATATAAAATAAACAAATTTAAATACATTCAAAAGCACATTTCAAATCCCTGATTTAAATCTCCATAAATTTCTCTTTGTTGAAGCTAAGAACATATTTTTCCTAAATACTACATTTCGTAAGGAACACTCACAAATTTATGTCACAATTTTTTGAAGCTATCAAACTAAAGATACAAAAATAACAAGATACATGAAATCGTGGTTCAAATCAGTAAAATGAGCTAGCTTTTATTTAACCGACATCGACAAAGGGACCCTCCACCCGATTGGGCCCACATGTCATCGAGACGGAATAGAGCAACGGCGCTGGAATGACGTGGGAACGGCGGAGTTTCGCCGACGGCGAGGTTGTTGCGGTGAGGTCATCACGACGCGTGCTTTAGCGACCTAAGCGCATCTATTGAGCCACTTGGCCGGCCCTATCGTCGACGGTAAGGACGACGGCGGCGGCAATGGCGGAGCGGCGGGGCTGGACCACGGCAAAACGCCGGTGGAGGCTACAGCAACCCGATAGAATGCTACGCCGAGCATCACCGAGCTACGGCGGACCTAGCTAACACTCTATCGCGGCCTGGGGTGGACGGTGGCGACGTGGCCACAGAGACGGAGCTAGCGGCGGAGCTCGCCGACGATGCTGTGCACGGCGCGGTGGCTTACCAATGCTTGAACCACGGCACTTTGGACGCAGGGAGTTGTAGGGACGACGGTGATGCAGTTGCGGTGGCGACTGGGCGGCTCAGCGCTAGCTGGAGCTGGCTATGGCGATGGCGGAGCGAGGAGGCGCTCGGCTGCTGCTGCGGCGAAGAAGGAGGCCGAGGCGAAGCGAAAATGGAGCGCGGGGCGACGCTGGCGTGATGAAGGCGTGCCCAGGCGCGTCGTGGCCTGGCTGGGCAGAGCAGAGGCGACGCGCGGCCGTTGCCGGGGACACGCGGCGCGCGGGTTCTGCCGTTGGTCGGCCACTGAACGCGTCGTTCAGTTCATCAGTGAACCGGTGTAGTGCCTGACGACGAGTTTTGTCGCTGATTTTCCCGCTAATCCGTCGCTCCAAAGCATAAGACGTCTAAACAAAATTTATAGCCCTATGTACCAGCTTCAACTTTGGTTAAGGGAGTATGTTCAAATTCGCAACCAAAAACAAGTAATGTCATCCCCAAGATGGGCCTGTCAGGCTGTCAGTCGAACCAAGACTTAGAAAATTTTTGAAGTGCTGAAAACAGTGAAAAGCTGATTTTTGTGAGTCCAATTCAAACATGTTAGAAGCTAAATCAGTCCATGACATAAAAATAAAAGTTGTTCCTTATGTCAAACACTACAACTTTGCTTTAGTGAACTCCTCCATGCAAGGTCTCTAACACCTAGTTCAACTTTAGTCAAACATGTCACTTTGAAAACATGATACATACACAAACCATGGCTAAATGACCAAACTAGCCTTAGCACTAAATACCAAAGTTGTTCCTAATGATATCCTAAGCATGTTTAAACAATTTGCAAGGTCATTTAAGCATTTCATGTAGTAGTCACTCATATAGCTATTCAGGTCAACACATGAAATATCACTTAAGTGCTTGATCATGAAATGTGGCCTTCATGAACAAGGTTCCTTTTGTTAACCTAAGTGTAGCTAAGGTGTTTTAGTGACTAGCACTACCCACTTGCATTCATTTGCACATGATCATATGCATATGTTCCAAGAAGCACGGAATAACAAGCAATGTTTCATATGTTTCGATCAAATGTTTCAATTATAAATGATGATTTATGAATGCTTGATGCTCATGATCATGTTATGCAAGTCAAGTTATGCAAGGCTAACACCCGAGGTGTTACAGGGGAGCCGCTTGACGGAGACGCGTGCGGCCTCGGCCACACGCGAGCTCCGGCGAGTGGGTCCACACCAGCGCCACCGCTTTTCCCTCCCATCTCCAGCCCTCTCTCTCGCCTTTCCCCTGTCCAGATGCGGATCGAGGCGTTGCTGTCGGTGGCGGACACCTTTCATCCGTGGTAGCGGAGATGGGAGTACACAGTTGAAGGTTGCATTGAGATTGTTATACAGGGCCACGTGTCAAACAACCAATGAAGGTCTGTTAGATAGGGAAAAACCAGGTATCTCAGAATTTGCCTCCAGCCAAGCCAGGCATCCCTTCATCCATTATTCATGTCCTGTTCGTTTGGACTTATTTGACTTATAAGTCGTATTTTTTCAGTCAACGAACAGTATTTTTCTCTCACACCAAATCAGCCAACAGTACTTTCAGTCATGACTTATCAGCCAAACAAGCCCAAACGAACAGGGCATCAGTCGTCATGTCTTGTTTTGTTTTACCCCACCTTTGTTTCACCTCAGGCTCCGCCGCTCCACCCAGGACCCTGCCTGAGTGGATGGTGCCTGCAGATATCACAGATCCTCTATCGCTTTTCCATCCCAAAACTCCACCACGGACAGCGCGACGGGGGCCTGGTCCGGCCACGCCCTGATGTCGTCCATCGCCACGGCATCCTCGGCCACCCACTTATTGAGGAACACGTTGGTGGCGTCGGCCACAAACCTTCGCATGGGCGCCCTGGCCCCGCCGCTCCTGCAGACGGTGCGCGTGAGCATCAACCTAGCACCCTGCGTGTCGTCGTCCATCATGCCCGTGTGCCCGTAGTCCCTAGCCACCAGGTGGCACGCCGGCGCCGTGCGGTCCAGCTCATCGAAGAAGGCCGCGTGGCTAACGCCCCGGGGCGTTGGAGACAACTTCTCGACGTAGCCTTTGGAAGACTAGCTCTCACAGTGTAGGATCGCAAGGACAAGGTTCTAGAGACCCGCTGTGTTTTGGCGCTGGCCGGATAAGCTGCTTATATAAGCTGCACCCTTGCAAGGCTAGGGGCCGATTTTGGCGGACCAACCCTCCGCCCTGCCCCGCCTGGCAAGGTGAGTGAGCGCGTGTGTGCTTTTTTTTCTCCTCATCGCACTAGACTTGAGGAAGTGAAGAGGACTTCCATATTAATATGACTACCTCAACTTCCACAAGCAAGGTGGATTAAATGATTCTCACTCCCACTCTTTGCACACATCAATGAACCTTTGAGATTTGATAATGCTTGCCACGGGCGTCCGCCCCATCCGGACGCCGAGCGCCTCAGTTTGCCTCGCTGCTTTCTTCGACCGCGCGCCTCACCCCGTGCCACTCGCTCACTTGCTCCTGGCTCCCGCCCGTCACGCGCCCCACCTGCGCCACTCGGTCCTGCCTATCGCACACCCCACCTGCACCGCTCGCTCCTCACTCTAGCCACGCCCTGCCCACTCCCTCTCATAGCGTATGTCACGTGCCCGACTAAGCCAAGGGCCGTGTTTGGTGGTGCCAGGTGGAGTTGTGCTTGCGCGCTGCCGCTGGTGCTGCTGGTGCTCAAACCCGTCGATGACCGAAATCGACTGGCCCGACCTTTCCCCCCTATGTTGCAAATGTATGTTTCAAATATTTCAGAGGTATGCTATAATTGTTTCATATGGATGTTGCAAAAGCAGATTGGGATGTTACATATGTTGCAAGTGTTTCAGAGGTAAGTTGCAAATGTTTTTTCAAAATGTTTCATCTGTTTCAGACATATGTTGCAAGTGCTTTATCTTGGATATTGCATATGTTACTATGGCTATATTGCAAGTGTATGTTCCAAGTATTTCATCTGTTTCAGTTCTATGTTGCAATTGTTTCATCTTAGTGTTGCAAAAGTAGATCTCGATGTGGGGCCGTCGACTGCGGAAGGGTGAGCTAGCGCGGGAGCCATGGTGGCGTTGGCTGTAAGCTGGCGACAGCGCTCCAGTGGAGGATGCGTAGATGTCCATGGCCCTGGAGTGGGTCCTTATCGCGTTGCCCCCGATCAACGGCCTGCTCGCCTACACCATCGCTGTCGCGTGGGAGCCATCACGGAGTGGTGGCGCGGGCCCAGCGGGCGGGCTCTTGGATTACGTGGACGCGGGGAACGCGCAGGGGATAGGACGGGGCGCGACAGGTGCGTCGAATGGGAACTGCGTCCGGACGCAGGCCTGGGGATGAATGTCCGGGCGCTAGCGTTGCAGTTTGAGATTTCTTCATGGGAATTTCAGAATCCTATTTGGACCTTCAGTACACGTGTTCCAACAATCCTCCACCAGATATCAAATGCCCATTTAGCAGGGTATGTGAGTACGGTTAACTCTTCATTTTCCTTTCTCTGGAGATGATTGTCGTTGCTAGACTGTGTAGGCCGCCATGGCCCATGGCAAACGCGGCCCAAAGGCTCAGCTAGGCTTAGATCCGGTCCATGCGTCCACTATTGACATCACTGTTGATATTGTTAAGCATACTGCTAGCACCGGCGCTAAGCAGACACTCCACTCTGCTGGCACCGTGACACCGCCCGCTAGCGAGCAGCGGGCAGTGGCATAGCACAGAGATCACGTCGCCCTCCCGAGTCCCGAACCCATCTGATGGCGAGCCCAAGCATTCGTGACGTGAGACGCTCGCGCGATGGGGATCAGCTCAACATAGCAGAGCTTCCGAGACGAGAAAGCTACTTAATCCGTCCTAAATTATTAGACATTTTAATATTTTTAGATTCATAGTTTTTATTATGTATCTAAGTTTATAGAAAAACTATAAATATAAAAAAGTCAAACCATCTTATAATTTAGAACGAGAGGACTAGAAGTCATTGTAGTCTTACAGTAGAGTTTCGTATACGTACTTTTTTCTTTTTTCTTTTCTCTGGCAATAGAGAGGAAACTAGCTAGTTTACGAAGCTGGGCTGCTGCCCCCTACTCTGAACCGGTTTCTAAAGCTAGGCTATAGTCATCTTATTTAGCACCAAGCCCAGGCATCCGTTCATCCATTATCCAGTCACGCCTTGTTTTGTGTTTACCCCTCCTTTGTTTCACGTCAGGCTCCGCCGCTGCACCCTGGTCCCTGCCTGAGTGGATGGTGCCTGCAGACATCACAGGTCCTCTATTGCTTTCTCATCCCGAAACTCCACCACGGACAGCGCGACGGGGGCCTGGTCCGGCCGCGCCCTGATGCCGTCCAACGCCGCGGCGTCCCCGGCCACCCACTTGTTGAGGAACGCGACGGTGGCGCCGGCCACGAACCGTCGCATGGGCGCCCTGGCCCCGCCGCTCCTGCAGACGGTGCGCGTGAGCATCCCCCTGGCGCCCGGCGTGTCGTTGTCCATCATGTCCGTGTGCCCGTAGTCCCTGGCCACCAGGTGGCACGCCGGCGCCGCGCGGTCCAGCTCGTCGTAGAAGGCCGCGTGGCTGACGCCCCGGGGCGCGCATGGCGGGAGCAGCGGCCCGCGGGGCAGCTCGCCGAGCCCCGTGCCGATGACCATGGCGGGGGCCCCCACGTGCAGCGAGCGATTCCTGCCCGTGAGGACCGGCGGCGGCGTCTGCTTGCCCACGCCCATGCCGTCCACGGGGTCCACGGCGACGAGGGCGGCGAGAGGGAGCGCGAGCTTGGCCTTGGCGTGGCCCAGCGCCAGCGCGAACGCCACCTTCCCGCCGCGGCTGTGGCCGGAGACGGACACCTTGGTTAGGTCCGCGCGGACGCCGGGTGGCAGAGCCGACGGGAGCCCGGTGGCGAGCCAGTCAATGACGGCCGCCGCTGCGTTGATCTCCTCGGTGGTGTCGGGCCCGGATATGGTGTACAGCTGCATGCGCGATCGACAGACGAGCAGCAGGTAAACCAAACTTAACTCTGGTGGACCTGAACTACTGCTTATAGATATCGTATAATATTGCTACCTGAGGTCCGACGACGATGAAGCCATGGGAGGCCACGTGCTGGAACAGCTGGGAGTAGAAGGAGTTGACGGCGAGGTAGCCGTGCAGGAAGAGGAGCACCGGGTACTCCCCGGCCTCGCGCGGCGCGGCGACGAGCAGCGGCTTCGGCGGGAGGCTGGCCGCGCCGGACGGGGGCGACCGCGCGGCGCACCTCGACGGCGCCCTGGCCTCGTCGAGGCGGGTGAGGCTGACGCCGTGGCCCCCCTGATCGAACACGCCTCCGGCCTCTTCGTACTCTGACCCCATGCACCGGTGGAGCAGCAGGCAGTAGGCCAAGAACACAAGCACCGCGGACGCGAGGTTCATGCGTTGCCGATCACTGATGAGTGCTGACTGCTGACTGCAGTAGTGTAAGTCCGGCTAGAAGGCCCGGAAAGGCAGTAATAATGGTGATGACTGGGAATCGTGGCTGATTGGCGACCGACCATGCATGCGCGGCCGGGGAGCTCCTTATCTGGAGGGCTGCCTCGATCTGCATAGTACAAGGCAGTTCCTTGTTGGATTGATGCTCTGATTAGGACACGCCCACATTGCGATCCTGGTTCCTGGACAAGTCTCGTTTTCACATGGCAGAAGACAAATATCAAGGCAAAAGGATCACATCTCTTTCAACTATCGCAAAAGTGATTCGTCTCCCTCAAATAAAAAAAATCTGATTTTAAAGTCTGATTTGTCTCCCTCAATAAAAAAAATCAGGTCTTTAGACTCCTAACTTTTGAAACCATTGTTCGACTTAGGTCCCTAAACGAGTTTGGCTGGAGTGGCGCCATAACAGCCTCAAGAAAGGTAAATCCGGAATTTCACAAAAATTCTGGAGTCAATTAGACTTATTAAAAATAAAAATGTTTTTTCAAAAAGTTATCTAAATACTTTTCTAGAAAAAAATAATTTAATAGTACTAAAATCTAATTTAATCTTAGAAAATTTGTTTTAACTCAGAAAATATGATACTAGTTTCTTATATATTTTCCAAAATCAAGTTCTATGCTTTTCTTAGCTACACATCACAATATAGAGCGTGATTTTAGAAAACATGTGAATGATGCACTCCGAGCTTGTCCAAGCTGTTAATAATTATTATTTAATGCTCAATTAGGAATTATTTCAAGGGGTGTTTTTCATCCCTCTCTCTTTTATACTTGTAACCACCCACGTAAGCCACATATATATATATATATATATATATATATATACACACACACTCTGTTCACTGGGAATACACTACACATCATTTGCATCACTTTGTCTCTGGTTCTTTTACTTCTATCACGTTATCAGCCACGTTTGCTCTCCTCCGCTAGTTTTGGGCCGGAAAGGATTTGACGTCGATGATGCAGCGGCGACAGTCATCGAAGGAACAGTGCCAGCGTCATGCTCAAGGATGAAAATCAGGAACGAGAACTAGAACAAGGGTATGGAATACGGCCACATTACCTACGGCAACAACACTCGTCGATGTCGTCCTTCGTCCTCGTCTCCGTGGCTTCCGCTCGGTTGTGGCTGTGCACGGCGACGGCGGCTTGAGGCCCCTGCGTGACACCCCCCCGTGTACGGCGGCTCGCAGCCCTGTGCCTGCGGCGGCCGGCATCCCCTGCGTCCCGTGGCTGGGCACACACGTGGCCCGCGCGGCTGGCGGCGCAACCCTGCGGCCTTTACGCCGCGGCCGGCTTCCCCGGCCGTGCGCCTCGATGCAGCTCCATGGCGGTGGCTGCACGCGACTCCGGCGACTGGCGCCTCCTGCGCGGCGGCCGGCTAGCCTCTGCGCCAGCGACTTGGTGCCCGTGACCGCATGGCCCTGCTGCTCAGCACCGGGCGGCCTGCGGCCCCTGCGCCCGGCGACTCGCGGCCCCGCACCGGCAACGGCCGGCTGCTCCATCGGCGCCTGCGGTTGGCAGCCCCCGTGCCCCTTGGCCGGTGGCCCTGCGCTGCACCCACGTCGGCAGCGGCGGAGGCCGGCCAACTGCACGTACGGAAGAAAGACCGTGAGGCCGAGTGCCCGATTGACGAAACCGTCCGTGCCTCCGTAGGCTTCCCGTGGGAAGGGATAAGATTGTGCAGTTTTGCACAAAAGTCATTCTATGTTCTATGAATTACATAACAATCCTAATCGATTATTGATATATTTTCGGGTTTTATGATTATCCCTCTATATATATCACTGCAATATATATTGCATTTATACCTCATATAAATGCTTGTTTTTAGATCTCGTGTGTCGGTATTTTCGGACCACCGACGAGTAAATTTGTATTTACGCATCTGACTCGGATGGTGTGCTCGGAAGACACAAGGGTTTATACTGGTTCGGGCAGAACGTCCCTATGTCCAGTTCACTGCTGCTCGTGTTACCGGCACTTGATTTATAGTAGGGGTTACAAACATGTGAGAAAGAGAGAAGATCCCAAGTCTTGGGTGGAAGGAGTGAACGGGTGCTGAGAGCTCGCTTGCCGCTCAGCCGTGTGCTCGTGTCATACTCTTTTATTCAGATCCCCCTTCATGGGGCGCCCTGCTTCCCCGCTTATAAACGAAGGGAAAGCGCGGGTTACAGAGGAAGAAAAGTAGAAGAACGAGAGAGAAGAAGGCTTCTAGGGTTGTCGGGTCCTTCTCCTTCATGCGGGTCCCGCTGATCCTGTAGATGTCAACAGGGACGGCTCCATGACGTGGCCCTATTCGTCACTGACGCCATGCGCAGGCGTCATCTGTCGATCATGGCGTTCCACTCAGTCCCGACGGATATCGTGGTGAACTAACGCGCCTATCAGCGTCCGTACGAGGATTAGGCAGAACAGCACCGGCACGCCCGACACTGTTCTTGATGTGAATCCCCAGGTATGGCCCGTCATGGTCACAGGTTACATCGAGGCGTGCTAGCCTCTTTTCTGGTATCAGAGTTTTGACCCAGGCCCATACGTTTGGACCTAGAGTGGTTGGCGGCGGTACGGGTCCCCGTCGGACAAGACGGAACCCGCGTCCTCGAGGTCGGGTGGGGCGGAGCCCGCGACCTTGGGCGAGACAGAAACTGCATCCTTAGGGTTGGGCGACACGGAGCCCGTGGCCTTCGGCGAGACGGAACTTGCGTCCTTAGGGTCGGGCGAGATAGAGACGGAGCCCATGGCCTCGAGGTCGGGCGAGACGGAGTCCGCGTCCTTGGGGTCTGGTGAGACGGAGCGCGCACCCAAGGGGTCGGGTGAGATGGAGCCCGCGGCCTTGAGGTCGGGCGAGATGGAGCCCGCGACATTGGGGTCGGGCGAGACCTTTTAATATGTCTCGAGCCATTCTGGGAAGTCAGCATGGGCGCTAACTTCCTTATTTTGGGTATCCCTAATATCAATACCCGATAGTAGCCCCTGAGCCTGCGGGGGAGTAGGATACTTCTTTGGAGGCTTTTCCGGACGGGAGGACTCTGAGGGCCTTGGCCTTTTTTTAGCCCGCAGCGTATTCTGGTAGGACGGCGATTCCCTTTTGTCGTGATCGGTCTTCTTGGGGGCATGTAACCATAGGATTCGGGAGGTAGGAAAGATTTTTCTTGATTCCGGTCCCCTAGGATCCGATCGGTCCGCCGTCGTACTGCGGCCGTGCGTTCGGTCTCCTTGCGAGTCAAACTTCCCTCGAGCCCCCGTGCATAGCAGGGGCCTAGTCGAGGGTTGGCTCGTCTTGGTGATCGTCATCCCTCAAGCGTTTTTTTCGATAAAATGGAGGGGCTGAGCCATGCCACATTTTTCCTCGATGGACGAAACATGGTGCTCGGTGAGCTGTTAACGGCAAGTCCGAGTGGGGCCCCGGCTTCCCATTCACGAGGGTCTGGCATGAGTCAGCTGGTGACCGACTCTAGACTCTTGGTGGCCAATCCATATAGTTCTTGGGTCCGTTCGGCCGGTCTCAAGGGCTCGTTGCCTTTTTCAAGGAAAACCATAGACTTGGAATCGACCAAGACTCGAACATGGGCCGAGATGCCTACGGCGCTCGTGCGACCGGGTACTGGCTACTAGTGGGCCTATCCCTTTCCACCCCTTGCTCTAAGGGTCCCCGGAGCGGTTGTGAACCCATCGGCGGGCCAGCCTTTGAACTCCTGGTTGTGAATGGGCCATAGGAGCGTTTTTAGCTCTATATCCCTCCTTACCTGCATTGGTTCTTGGCCCATCGACTTGGTCAACCATCATTTGGCGTGTCCTTCGAGGGCGCGGCCAGAGATAGCGTGCGCACAATCTTTGGAGGGAGGTGACGCGATGCAGCGCAGCGGGCGTGTGAACCTTGACGGACGGTTCGCCTTCTCGCCCCGCTACGTCCTATAAATAGCGGCCTCCCCCTTCATGTTTTTGCACACCAAAACCACAGCCTTACCTTCTCCGTTTCTCCACCGTCGCCATTTAGATCTATCGTGCTCGCTAATCTGCCGCCGGAGCCCTAGATCTGTAGCTTCCGCTTCTCCACCACCGCCTTTGCTTCTCCACAACCACCTCCATCCTCCATGGATTCGTGGTACCGCTCTGATGTTACCCATGCGAGCATGGAGGGCCTCATCGAGCATGGTCTTCTCCGTGGGACGACCGATGTGGCAGAGTGGCTTGTGCCCGACCATGAGGATGCGCCGGCGCCGCCCGATGGCTACATCGTCTCCTTCGCGCCCTTCCACGAGCGCGGACTCACGGTTCCTTCCCACCCGTTCTTCCAGGGTTTGCTGCACCACTATTAGATCGAGCTGTAGCACTTGAACCCCAACGGGATCCAGCACATCGCGGCCTTCATCGCGATGTGCGAGGGGTACCTAGGGATCGAGCCCCACTTCGAGCTGTGGAGATATTTCTTCTCCATCTCCTTGATCAAGAAGGAGAGAGGCCGGGAGACCCCGGTGCTGATGGGATGCGTGGGCATCCACCTCCGGGGGCCGCGGATGGCTGAGTACATGCCCTGCCAGCTCTCCAGATCCAACAAGGAGTGGCACTCGCATTGGTTATACCTAAAGAATGACCCTACCACTCCCTTGCCGGTCTTCTCCGGGCGCCTAGTCGAAGAGGTACCGCCGTCATGGCTGTGGGGGCCACCCGTCAAGGACAAAAAGCGGATGCACGACCTCCTCGAGGCCATCACTTTCCTGAAGACCCACGGCCTCCATGGGGCCGACATCATCGGGGGCTATCACGCGAGGAGGGTGGAGCCACTAATGGCGCGCATCCTCCCGCAGTACGGGATGACGCCCAGCGCACAGCTCATTAGGATGACGCTCACCCAGGGGCTGTTCCACCACAGCGAGGTCGCGCAGCGCATCAAGGAGGCCACGGGGGAGGCCAACGCCATGTTGCCAATCT